GCTGCTACCCCACCATTTTGCAAAGTTCTAGAAGCATTTTAGGTGATGAATGAATTTGCTCATGAAAAACTTAACTTATTCCCAGTCCACAAAGGCTTCTTTATCCACCACGCTTCCTCTCTTTGGGGTTTTCTGAAGCAGCCTCCTTGTTCCTGTGGCTTGAGTCTCCATTAGAGACATGGACACGGCTGCATGATGATGTGCATTCCAAACCCCAAATCACAAAAGACATGACTGCTCATCTGACACTCAGGCGGAGATGTAGCCACCTCAGAAAACATCAGGTGGATCCCATCCGAAGTCCTACTGGACCCCAACAGCCCTAGCTCAGAGACAGCTATACATTTAGAACATGGTTTCTAGTGGGTTCAGACAAAAGTGCACAGCCATGAGGGAGATCCCCCATCACAGTAGTAGCTGGAGCCAATAGGAGAGGTAGATTAGAGAAAATTTAGACTAGAATGAGATAGAGGAGTAAACAGACTAGCAATGCACATAATTAGAAGTTACAGTGGCTGGACGCTAGTGGCTCACATCTGTAATCCTAGCTACTCAGGAGGCTGAAATCCGAGGATCAAAGTTCAAAACCAGCGGTGGCAGGAAAGTCTGTGAGACTTATCTCCAACTAACCACCAGAGAACCAGAAGTCCTGCTGTGGCTCAAAGTGGAAGAGTGCTAGCCTTGAGTGAAAGTGCTTAAGGACAGCACCCGAGCCCTGAGTTCAAGCCCCATGACCAAACAAATTTTTAAAAAACGTACAGCAGAACTGACTGCATGACTTTTATTTTCTAGTATATGTGAAAACAATCCAGTCATCCAGTCTTGCTGAAGTGTATATATCATCTATAGGTCTTTCTTTTCCCTCTCTTTTTCCCTCTTCCTCTTTCTCTCCCTCTCCCCCCCCCTCGCCCCCGCGTGCTCTCTCTTCTCTCTTTCTTTCCCAGTCCTGGAACTTGAACTGTAGGCCTGAGTGCTGTCCATGAGTTTTTTTTAGCACTCTACTATCTGAGCCACATCTTCAGTTCCAGCTTTTTGCAGCTACTTGGTGATAGGAATTTCACAGACTTTTCTGCCTGGGCTGGCAGCCTCCTGAGTAGCTAAGATTACAGGCATGAGCCACTGGCACCTGGCTTTAGATATTTCTTAACTATCATTTAACATCTTACAGCTGAATTTTGTGGGTTTTTTGGGTGTTTCTAAAGGGATGGTTAATACTGCTGGTTGAATGCAAAGCAGTCACGGAGAAGAGAAGTTTTATTGTAGCCATTTTTCTGTCCTTCCGGTGAACTGACAAGGCAATTTGGCCATCAAAAGTAGGTGGGGATGTAGGTTTGCTCTTTTATTCATCCCTGTTGTGAATCAAAGCTCTTTATGGAATGCAGCCACATATTCATGTGTCCATAAGCAACCAGGATTCATTATATAGCCTGTTCTGGGGAGTTTGAAGTGTTACCTCACTATCCTATAGACCTTTTTTGAACCCTAAAATCAGGACTCAAAGCTGAGAGAGCTTTGGAATGTTGCAGTCAGCTACAAGCTCTAGAAAAACCCAACTGCAAAGTTCAACAGGCTGCTGGACTCAATGTAATCTCATGCCCTGGACACAGGACAGAATGTACCTTATTTCTCACCAATCTACATATCTTATGCACTTGCCATTTTAGAAGTGTAAAATGAGTTTTAATACATCTTATGCTAATTAGCATCCCCTGCAGCCCCCAGCAGGGAAAATGGTAATTGAAACCTCAGCAGTGGTCACCCAGTTATAGATTTCAAATTTCTTACTAAAGACTCAAGGCACTTTAAGTGTTAACTGACCACCCTAGAGTGTAAATTAGGACTAATTAACATGTACATATGCCATTTGGTAAATACCCCATGACATAGTATTTTATTTTACATATGACCAATACAACAACATGTTTATAATTAACATGTGCATCAAAATATTTATAATGGTTTTTCATTTGCCCATGAATGTTTATTGTAGCCAGATTGTTCTTATATTCCTGTTTATAGGAAATATTGCTACTTCTTAAAAATCCAGATTAATAATATGAATACTCAAATTACTCCACAAAGAAATATAAATATTAGATAAGCCTGTGACCAGCAATAGATTTAAAAATGGGAGTAGAAGTGATACAAAAGTATCATTTATCCATGAAACATTCTCATTACAGCTGTGACCCCAAGACAAGGATAAATTAGGACAGAAATCTGGGGCCAGGTATGGTAATCCATATTTGTAATCCCAGCTACTCAGGAGGTGGAGTTAGGAAGATAGTGGTCTGAGGCAGATCCTGAGGCAAAACAAAATGGTCTCAGTTGGAATGGGAAGGAGGAATCTTCCCTGAGACTATATAATTAGAGCTGGAAAGTAAAGGATGGGGAAGAGAACAGTAATAGAGGGTGAACCCAAGGTTGAAAGGCCATTGGGAACGATAGTGAGGCTAAAAGTCAGAGAATAAATGTGGGTTCTGAAGACTGAGCCTTTAGGATTTGGCTCCTGGCTGAATGTAAGAGAAGAGGCAGGTAGCACTGCAGACAGGGCTCTGCTATGGTTCAAAGTCAGATTGGGTTCAAACTTTGGATCTGCCATTTACTAAAAGCATCACTTCTGAACCTTAGTTTCCTCATCTGTAAAATGGGGCCCAACATATCTAACTCACAGGAAGTAGTTTTTGCTATTGGTTTTGCTATTGTTGGTACTCAATAAATGATATTATGTATTTTTCAGAGGGTGAAGGTTCATTCTTTGATAGCTCAGAGATTTTAATCCTGAGTCATTTGGAAATCTAGGTATACAGTTTGATTTTTGATATATCTACAGAATTGAATAGCCATTGTCAGAGATCTCATACCCATTAACGGTCACTCTCATTCCCCTTTTCTTCAGTTTTTTCTAAGAAACTAATAATCTACTTTTTGACTGTATGGAATAGAGGAAGATATTTCAGAGCCACAATAAAAAATGTGACCCTCCAAGGAAGAGCATAGCAATAGTGGCTCTTTGAGGGGACAAGAGGGCTAGTGTGAGCCATGTGAACATGCCGGACCCATCCGATGTGAGCCATGGGAACGTGCCTGACCCATCCTATGGCCACTTTGTTAAATGGCTTCTCATGTACCGTGGTTTTAGCAGCAACCTGAGATTTGACCATCTAGTAAACATTGAGGCCAACAAAAATGTCCAGTTGAGGGCTGGGAAGGTGGCTCAATGGTAGAGTGCTTGCCTCACATGCATGAGGCCGTGGGTTCGATTCCTCAGCACCACATAAACAGAAAAAGCTGGAAGTGGCACTGTGGCTCAAGTGGTAGAACACTAGCCTTGAACTGAAGAGCTGAGGGACAGCACCCAAGCTCAGAGGTCAAGCCCCACGACCAACAACAACAACAAAAATGTTCACTTGATTTTCCTAAGATTTGGCCTCTTATGTAATAAGAACACCATGTCTTCATTTTAGCCTAATAATATCATTACCTTGAATTAACCTTCTGAATCTTTGGTGTTCATAAAGGTATCCACTGGCCATGTGTGCCTGTGTTAATTTGAATTATTAAAAAATTTAATGTAATTAAAAATTTAGTTCTTCTGTTGCACCAGCCACCTTCCAGGTGCTCAAGTTAGTCACATTGGATGGGGTTAGTACAGAACACTTTTACTGTCACAGAAAGTTCTCTGGTATAAAACCATTCCATATGATATCACTAACGTGTAAGCTTCCAAAAGAATTTTCTGTGTGGTAGGTTACTTCGTAATGTCTACCTACCTCATTTGGCTTCATGGTTCACTTCTTTCCTTTCCATTTCATCTTTGTATTTCCCTGACTAGATTGTTGTCACACCAGAACCCAGACCTTCACCAGCTGGTTCCCAATAAATCATTTGTGTGTATATAGTATCTCACTGTGAATCTCCAGTTATATTACAAAGCTAAATATTTATAAACACATAAATAAGTATATAACTATATGGTTGTATTTGTGCTAGTACTGGGGCTTGAGCTCTGGCTTTCAGCTCTTGGTTTGTTTTTTTTTCAACTCATGGCTGATGCTCTACTACTTGAATCAGACCTCCAGTTCCAGCTTTTTGCTTGTTAAATGAAAGTAAGTCTCATAGATTTGTCTGCCTGGACTACCTTGGAACCACAATCCTCAGATCTCAACCTCCTGAGTAGTTAGGATTATAAGCATGAGCCACTTGGGCCTGGTAGAAGTTACCTTTTGATAAGCTCTTGAATATTTTCTATGTTTTTCTTATTATTGCTGCCAAAATAATGAATAAAGGTAGGTTAAGTAATTTTACAGACAAATAATGCTGTTAGTTCCCATATGTATATCTTTTTCAGGTCAGGGAAGAGCGTCCTGAATGTCCGAAGATAGGGCTGTTAGTTTGTATTACTTTCCTATTGCTAATATATACAATACATTTAGTGGCTCATATCAGTTTTATTCTTTTATGGTCAGTCCCTTAGCCACTTTTCCTGGGCTAAGATTAAGGTGCTGGCAGGGCTGATTTCTTCTAGAATCTCAAAGGGAAGAATGATTTCCTTGTCTTGTTCTGCCTCTAGCCTGGATTCTTTGGCTCGTGGTCCTTTCCTTCATCTTCAGAGCTCATCACTCCAATCTCTGCTTCTGTCACCACCTTACCTTTTCCTTCTTGTAGTCAGATCTGCCCTCTGTTTCTCTCTGATGAGGGTGCTTGTGACTACCTTTCCGCCTCAGATGAACCCAGATCATACCCAAATTTCTAGATTTTTAGTCATCATGTCTGCAGAGTTTCTCTCTCTATGTAAGGGAACATTCATAGATTACAGAGATTAGGAGATGGGTATCTTTTGGGGCCATTATTTAGCTTAGCATAATGTTATAAAAATTATTTACCGATAGAAGAATGTTTAACCCTATCAGGTTTAATTGAATTATTTGGAACTTTGAACGATGGGTCAATAACACAGATTACAGCATAAAGTGTTTATACTCATGTTGACAGATATTTAAAATGTCTGATGATGCTGGTGACACCTTAGCTGCTGGAGACAGAACAGATACTACTGAGATACCCAAGAATCATCATGCTTCACCTGAAGATGCAGAAGTGTACTGTGATCCAGCTATAACTTCAAATGATCCAGCTCCATCTGGCCGCAGAGGAGATTTGCAAGAGGATGTACCTAGTCAGAATGCAGAGACCACTGCTGACCCACACCCAGAACAATCCAAAGACCTTGGTGCCATTGAAAGCCCACTCAACAGAGAAGGGGCTGAGGACACACTGGCTCAGTGCATTGATTCTGTCAACCTGGAGGGAGAACCCGGATCTGAAATACTTCTGAAAGAACAGGATGATCTGGTAAGAGTTGTCACTCAATTCATTTCAGCATCAGTTCCTTCTGACACCTACTATCATAGACTGCTTTCTGTTGCTAGTAACACAGTTCCACAGACCAGGTAAGTTATAAAAACAAGAGAGGTTTATTTGCTCATCCACTAACTCAAAATCCATATTCCACCGATGAATAGATTGTATGTTCCCATTTCAGGCTTCTAATAAGTATAATATGTAGGATTGTCAATGAAGTTAACATAAATCAGTGTGCTCCTATCTTATCTGCTTTTATGAGTTGTTTGATAAGCTAGATGAAATCAGATAAATCCTGCTTTGAAAATACTGTGTAAGTCTTCTCAATGTCACAGTATTAGAACCTGCTGGCAGCAGATATACCCCTCCTGTACTACCCTGGGAGCATCAGAAGAACTTTGGAAAGGTGAGCACTCCTCATAATGGAGCATCACAGAAGGATCTGGATGGAAGTGCAAATCCTGGGGTCTATGACTCTGTATTTGTGTGCATTGCATCAGGAGCTCAGATACAATCTAGCATGGGGAGAGATGGATGATCATGTTTGTTCCAAGAAGGGAAGAGAGCTGATAGGACTGACAGCACAGGCCTGGAGAGGAGAGGATCTCTCCCATCTGTGTTGTTTTTAAGCCTGCAGTGTAGATGTAAATTCACTCTATTTTAAAGGAATACCAGCACAAGGTGGTCTCCTGCTCTCTCAGTTACTAATCTTAAATTAGTATGAGAAGAGGTTAACTTTGTGCCTAGTGTTTTAGTATTATTCTTTTATATGCCCTTTGACACTTATAAGAAATCTTTTTGCATTGATAACAACTATTCCTGTCAATCTAGCAGATAATACTAAAAAAAAATATCTGGAATCCAAAGCTGGTCACTTGGATGTTGTCCTTAAGTTATGTCTAATTCTAAAGGAAAACAGCCGAACTCCAAAGCCTGTTTTGATCCCAGGTATTACTGAAGCCTGGTAAAATTTCATCACCCCTTTAAAAAGTATCTATAGGAAAAAACCTACTTACAAATAGTCTTGTGAGGGGGCTGGGAAGGTGGCTCAGTGGTAGAGCGCTTGCCTTGCATGCATGAGGCCCTGGGTTCGATTCATCAGCACCACATAAGCAAAAAGAAAATAGTCGGAAGTGGCGCTGTGGCTCAAGTGGTAGAATGCTAGCCTTGAGCTGAAGAGCTGAGGGACAGTGCCCAGGCCCAGAGTTCAGGCTCCACGACCGGACAAAAAAAAATTAAAATTAAAATTAAAAAAAAAAAAGAAAAAAAGCCGGAAGTGGCACTGTGGCTCAAGTGGTAGAACGCTAGCTTTGAGCTGAAGAGCTGAGGGACAGCGCCCAGGCCCAGAGTTCAGGCCCCATGACCGGACCCAAAAAAAAAAAATAGTCATGTGAGGAAGATTAGACTTAGAGGAAGTACACACCATTGGCTTGCAGAGCACACGCACACAAATGATTTATCCTTCTTAAAATGATTTGTATTTGCATAGTTACTTTGAATTTGGATCCCCTTAAAGTCCATACCATTAGATTCACCTTTGCCTCTCAGAGTAGGCTCTACCTTGATTGATAGGACAAGGCCAGAGAACAGGATGAAGCCAGCAGCCCAACAGACCCTTGCTTTGTAATATCACTCTGTTATGTACTAAAAGAAAGCATCTTTTTTTAAAGGTCATTTCTGTAAAACTCAGATGTCACAGAGTTTTTCTGCAAGAACCCACTTGCAAACATTTATAAGAGAAGGTCCCAATTCTTGTTTGAATGTTGATGTTTGGAACAGACTAAGACTGTATAATAACATTATAATAATATAATAACATTCTTTAAATCTGAGAGTCTTAGTGGTATGACTGAGGATGCCTACAGTCTAATTGTGGAAGCCAGTGTTGTATAAAAGTACTTCGAACATTTCTTACAACACAAGAAATGTCTTTGATGGAGCACTGCAATCAATCTTAAGGAGTCAGGGAAGGAAGTCTTCAGCCTCAATTCAGATAGGTTTGCTTTGGGTACTGGATGGGCATAGTATGTATACCCAGGGGCCTTTATTGTGACAGCCTGTCAACCCTTAAAAGATCCAACTTAGATAAAGTTTCTTTACATTCTTAACACCAAGAAATGTACCTAAAATTGAAAAAAGTTATACTTGCTATATAACATCAATGCGTAAGGCCTATTATGGACAATGTAAAGAATTAAAATTTTACTATTATAAGTACTCTCATAAGCTCAAGATTGTAGGCTGTCACCAAATACTTATCTTCTTAGAAAAGAAGGAGAATGTTTAAGAATTGTAAAATTACTATGAAAGGATAAAAAGGTTTAGAGTCTGAAGATACACCTTGGATCATATATCCATCTAAAAAGATCAGAAAAGTGGTGGTTTTTCTACATTAAAACTTAAATCTAAACAAGCTGAGGTTTATTGCTTCCCATAGACTGTGAAACCAAGTCTCTCCACCCTGAGTGGAGAAGAGGCCCACACATAGTGTCAAAAACACTGAAATCAACTATTTATCAACTGAAAACCACCCTGCCAATCCATACACCAACACTGTGCCGTCACTTATCTTCATGAAGCTGAGTGAAGAAACCACCACCTGAAAGTAAATAAGAGTTTGAAGAAGTTGAAAATAAAGCAGAGAAGTTAGATCAAATAAATAAAGACATTGGAAGACACACAGAAGATTAAACCAAGGGGACTTATAAGCGTTCTTGGACTCGGTCAAAAGACAAAACGTATGACTGACAGGAATAGATGAGGACAAAGAAATAAAAACTAAACAGCAAGAATCTTCAATAATAAAATGGTAGAAAAGCTTTCCAATCTCAAGAACGAATGTTACCCATGTAACATGAGGCTAGCAGAATGTCAGATCAGCAAGATCAGAGAAGAAACATCCTTAAACTCACCATAGATTATAGTAAAAACACTCTCTTTCTATATATATGTATATGTATATATATATACTGAAAGCTACAAAAGAAAGAAAAGTAATTTACGATGGCAATCATGTTAGAATAACGGCAGATTTCTCATGAAGGGAGGGCAAGGAAAAACATAGATTAGCAATAAATGCCAACATAGACTACTTTACCTAGTTAACCTATCAAAATTGGTAGTGGACTAGAATTATCCAAAGTGTTTGTTGAAAAATTCAGATTCCTAGGCTTTACTCTGAGAGATTACTATTTAAAACATCCTACTCCACTTCTGACTTTTTCGTGGTTAATTGAAGATAAAAGTCTCGTAGACTTCTCTGCCCAGGCTAGCTTTGAACTGTGATTCTCAGATCTTAGCCTCCTGAGTAGCTAGGATTACAGGTGTACACTGGTACCTCTTCTTAAGAGGTGAAGAAAAAAGATGTACAGTAGAAACCAGATGAGTTAAAAAAAAAACACTTTGTTGTGATTTTTATTTGTTACTGTCTGATAAAATGTAGAAGGTAGGAAATAGAGAAAAAGAAATAGAAAAACCAGGAGAGGGACAATTAGCTTACCCAAGCCCAGATGATTTCGCTCTATCTAAATACTTTGTTTTTTCTAAAACATACTTCAGCCAAATTATGTTTTGTGCATAACAACAACTACTTGACATTTAATTTCAACAGTTAGTGTTCAGTTTATTAGGACTACAAATTTAAACAATTACTTCTTCCTTCAGTTTTATATTCAGCTCATAAATCTTCAATTTAGAAGTCTAGTAAAATTGAACAGTTACAATCCTGTGGTTTTAAATTGATCTTTGGTCCTTTTTACAAATTTAAACACGTTCAAACATCTTAAACTGCATTTAAATGTGTTATATATTCTATTTCCTTTTTAAGTATCTCATTTATCTCCATATATAAAGTGTTGGTTAGTACTTAATAGTTGCTATAAAGCTGTTAAAATAAATTTATACTGTGGACTTAAGGACCTCTTAAATGTTATGATAGTATGCATAAGCTTAGGAAGACTTCAGCTTAAAGTCCTAAGTCTGAAAATTCAACTATTTATTTTAAAGTGGTTTTCAAAAGTTGTCTGTCTGTCAAATTCCATAAATATCAGTATGATAGAAAAGACCCAATGTGCACAAAACATTAATAGCAAAGCTTTGATGCTTTAGACCTTACTATATTTAATATTTAAATCTTTTTTTTTAATTTAATTTTATTTTATTTGTGAACATACTGTACAGAGGGGTTACAATTGCATGGGCAGGATAATGCGTACATTTCTTACCAAGCACTGCAGCCTCCTCCTTTGTTAACCTTCCCATCCCTTCCCAGCCTTCCCCCTCCCCCTTCATTCATGGCCATCTAACCTCCATGTTGGGATTAATCTAGTCTTGTTTTTTGAGATAGAGAGGATCTTGCATTGTAAGCCCTAACTAGCCTCCAACTCTTTTTTTTTTTTTTTTTGGGTCCGGTCATGGGGCCTGAACTCTGGGTCTGGGCGCTGTCCCTCAGCTCTTCAGCTCAAGGCTAGCGCTCTACCACTTGAGCCACAGTGCCACTTGCGGCTTTTTTTTTTTTAATATTTAAATCTTCTCAGAGTTGAATGATATATACTTACCAAGGAAGAAGATCACTTGAAAATAACAGGCCATTTCCTGCCAGATATTTTGACAGATCTCCAGTCAATCTCCAAAAAATCTCATCCTCCCTTATCATACAGAATATCAGTGTCATGAGTTATGAGACTCGAAACAGGTTTTGTTTCTGTGAGACCAAATCACATATAGGTCAAATCACCCACCTTGATGCAACACATTTATAGTACCTAATTCTCAACCACTCAAGGAACAGGACAGCCAGTTGATCTAAGCATTAAAGACCTTTGCATTTGATGGAATTTCTAGATGTGTAAACTATTTTGTATCAAATGGGACCTTTGAACCTGAAAGCCTAAAACACATAAGTTCTTTCATTTTGCTGGGGATGAGACCCATAGTCTCATGCATGCTAAGCCTTTACTTATTGCTGTTCCTATCACTGAGCCAAACCATCA